TTTAAAAATTTTTTTAAATGTTGTTTCCTATTGCTCAACTCCCTCCACAACCCTGAATTTGCTCAATCTTCATAGTCTTTGCAAAACAGAAACAAAAACAGACCAAACATTTTTTAATGATTTTGTTTGTTATCTTCTTTGATCACTGTATTTTTTAAAAAACAAATTTCCTGTTCATTAAACATCTGTTGCAATGTTCATTAAACATCTGTTGAATGAACTCTTCCTTAGTTCCAATAATTTGGGGAAATTTTGTCTCTTCTGCTTTCTTTGAGGTTTTCTAGTTATTTAGTTGTTTTATTTATTTATTTATTTATTTATGCTCTTGTTTTGTAGTTACTTGAGTCAAATTCATTAATTCATTTGTGTTATTGTTTTGAAATATCTATAAATCTAACTAGAAGATTAGGTATAGCTCAAAAATATGTATTATATGGGCTGTCTGCTATTCTTGTGAAAGTGGCTGTAACTGGCTTGATTTTCTTTTTGTTAGAAGTTATTTTGAAAATGTATATGGTAATTTTTTGAAAGTTCCATAATAAATTTCTGGAAAATAGAATAATACCTAACAGTTATTTAGTGCCATGTACTTTAATTCTCAAAACCCTCTGAATGTGATTGCTGTTCTTATCTGATAGAGGAAGAAATTGAGTCAGAGAGGAGGAGTTAAGACATTTCCCTATAGTCACAAAGTCTGTAAATTGGAGAATTAATAAAGCTATGCTTTGGGGAATTTATTAAAGATTTATCTATAATGTAGCATCAATTTGACAAAGTTCCTTAAGCATTGGGAGAGTAAGACATAGTCTCTATAGGATATTAAATTGATTAGCTATTAAATCAATTTTCTAAAATAGATCATTTAATCTGATTTAGCAAAAATGTCTTATAATTCCCCAATTTCTTGACTTTAAAGATTTTTTTTTCTTCTATTTTGGTACACAAAGATTTAGATGTGCCATATCTTCGCTGTGAATTAGGTAACCTTTTTCCCTTCAGTATCTTCTGCCTGTGTGATGATGGTTTTTAGTATTAAAACGGCATCTTCTGATTTCTTTTCGTTTTCATTTATTTAAGGTATCTTTTTTTAAAAACATTTTTTTAGTTGTAAGTGGACACAATACCTTTATTGTATTTATTTATATGGTGCTGAGGATCGAACCCAGGGCCTCACACCTGTTAGGAGAGCAACTACTGAGCCACAACCCCTGCCCTATTTAAGGTATCTTTATCTTATTTTTGATGTTACTTGACTTTAGGAACCGGGTCTCTAGCAGACAACAAAGACCTGAATTCTGCTCATAGACACATTGCCCCATCACATAGCCATGGCTGATGTCTTCAGTCGCTGCCTTGTTTTATATTTCCCTTTACTGTTTCCTCGTTAGCTTCAGTTACTAAATGCTTTTTTTCCTTTTCTCTTTTCTAGGATGAAACATATAATCATGTTTAAATTAATGTACCATTATCTTTACCCTTTTAGACATCATTTTTAAAATCATAGAAGAGTACAATGGTATCTTTTTCAATCTTCTCCTTTAGAGGCAAGAAATTTCATTCTGATTACTTTCCATAGTTCCTTACTAATGGTAAAGATTTTAATCCAAATAATTATTTTAAAAATCATTATCCTTTTCAATTTGACAAAGTTCCTTACGCATTGGGAGAGACTCTCTATAGGATATGAAATTGATTATATAGCTATTAAATCAATTTTCTAAAATAGATCATTTAATCTGATTTAGCAAAAATGTCTTATAATTCCCAAATTTCTTGACTTTAAAGATTTTTTTTCTTTTAAACAAAAATCTTTTTTGTTTAAAAAAAATGTTCTGATGTTGCATTTACTTTTGTAGTCAGATTTACAGTTATTCAACATGAACTCCACCTGCTGGGCTTCATCATTTATCACCAATTCTTGAACTCTAAGATCTCCCTTTATTGAGTTATTACTAATTTTTTCAGTTCTTAATCATTTGCAATGGGTAATTTTCATAAGAAATGTATATGAGATCCCACATATACAAGATTTTCTTGCATACACAACCTAAAAACCTGACTGAATACAAAATTTGGGGAGACTTTTATTCTCAAAATTCTGCAGTTTTATTGTATAGTTTCATGAGAGTTATAGAGAAGTAAGAGACTAACTTAAACTGGTTCCCTTGTAAGAGACCCAAGTTACCCTACTGGATTTTTCCCAAATGTTTATATTATTTCTTCTTCTCAGAATTATAAAAATCCTACCAGTATTTATTGAGACTTGACTCCTCCTCAATAAACTCATTTACTACACACTGCTTCTTTCTTAGAAAAAAAATTCCTTCAATTTTTTCCATTTATTTTTACCCTTTTTGTTCTTTTTTTATTGGAATCACGATGTATACAAATTGTAGGGTCTGGATCTGTGTGAACATGCTACAAAGCACTGCCTCCATTGTAATTTTTAAGTACAATCATGTTTTCAAAAGAACTGCCTACATTTAATTTCTTCCCTTAGCTATTTATTTCTAGTCTTCTTCTTCTTCTTCTTTTTTTTTTTTGTAGCTGTGCATGAAGAGAATTCCTTTATTTTGTTTATTTTTATTGGTGCTAAGGATGGAATCCAGTGCCTCACCCAGACCAGGCAAGCGCTCTGCTACTGAGCTACAGCCCCAGCCCCTCCTTAGTCTATTCTTAACAATTAGTCCACCTTCAACCCATCACCATTCCACAGACACCATGGCCATGGGAGGCCACAGATGGCTATAATGCCAAAGTCAAACACAAGGTCAAGTCTGTAACACCTCCATGTCCACATATGTGGATGCTCTTTCCCAGTTCTGTCTTCCTTTGTTTACTCATAAAGGATAGGCTTTCTCAGGATTCTGTCCCAGGTTCTTTTCACTCATTATCCAAAAGGCAATTTCACCTACTCTTCACTGTTTCAGTAAAATCTCTATACAAATGACTCCCCAAGCCTAGATTTTTTTTTTCCTGAACTGCAGACCTATGCTGTTCACCATCTGATGAATCTCTTTTCTTGGATGAACCAAAGCACACAACTTCAGCATGTCCAACTCTGAACCCTTCATCTTCTACTGCAAACCTGTCCCTCCTCCAAAATTACCTATCTCATACACCACCATTCATTCACTCAAAGGTTTAAGCTAGAGACCCGAAGCTGTCCTCCAGCCTGCTGTAGCCCTGACCTATTCACCACAAGATTACTATTGATTATCCTTTCCAAGTGTCTCTTCAATCTATCCACTTCTCACATTCTTTCAGATTTCTCTTCTCTCATCTGGCCTGTCTGCCTCCAGTTTGCCACTCCCTTGTCTTGGATCTCTGCATCTGCTCTTGGCTCTTCTCCTACTTCTCCAATCCATTCCTCAAACTACAGCCAGTTATCTTTCTACACCGTAAATTCAATTAAGACTGTTGGCATTCCCCACTTCAGCCTGCCTCTCAAGCCTCAACTCTCTCAACCCCTACCTCCCTTCTCCACAACCTAAATCATGGGAATATTTTCTGGATTCCTAGCACACACTGGTTTATCTTTCACCTTGGACCTTTGCACATAATGAGCTCTACCTGCAACTGCTGGTCTCCTGACTCCAATTTAGACCTCGGTTCAAATGGCACATACCTGGAAAGTTTTGCCTGTCTTCTCCAGACAAGGTATACATCTTGGCTATGTGCTGCCACAGCACCCTATGGTTTTCCATCAAAGAACTTACTGTGCTTTATTTTAATATTTAGTTAGTTATCTGCCTTCACATATACATTCTAATTTGTTAAGGCAGGGACCATTTCTACTATGCTCACCATTGATTGCTCAATATGATGCTTCCTATTAATTAATGTGTTTAGTAAATTACTTCCAACCCTAACGTAACACCTGACATAATTCACTTATTCAGCATTCACTGAGTCAATACATGAGCACACAAAAGAATAGGATTCACACCACTTTGTTAGTGTTCCATCCAAGCATTCCTAAAAGAGTTGTATTCCTTGTACTTATATTTTTCAGAGGCCCAAGCTACTCTGGTCACTGGAATACCATTTTATTATTTCTCTTTAGGCACAACCAGTAACTGAAGGTCCACTTTTGTTGAGTAGTATTCCTTCAATTCTTTCTCTATAACTGAGGTTTGGTTTTGTAGAGCAATTAAGGGCTGGAATAACCTGCCTTATTCTAATGCAATTTCAAAAACTCCCTCACATTGAGTTGCTTGGAGACCGGAAAAGAAACTGCCAGATTTCCTCTCCTCTGGACTCCTTCCAATCACCACCTCCCTTTCTCCTCTTGGGGGAAGCCTGAGCTCATTCATCTCCAATGGAAAGCCATTCACTACAACTCAGAAAGTGGCTACCTTCCATGATCAGGTGTCTCACAATCTAGATAGAAGCACCTGTACTTTAGCCTCAAGTATTCAGTCTTGGTAAAGTCCTGTTCCTCTCAAGCTTCCTATCATTTGGAAGAATTAAGACTTGGCAGAGTTATCAACTTCCTTTGAACCTGGACAGCATTTTGTACCCTGCTGATTTAATCATTTGGGTATATCTCCTCGTCCTTCCTGCCACCCTTATCTCAAAATCCCAGGTTATAAAATATATTAAAGAGGAGCCTGGATCTTATTTCTCAGTCTCTGATGCTAGTACAACATTGGGCACATAGTGGTCTAAATTATTAGCGGAAATAAATGAGACCGACCATTTCTTTCCCCAGCTTTGAACCTAAATAGATTTGCACACACACCCCACAACAAGTTATTCCACCTTGCAGCAACTCAAAGTCCCCCCAACCCCCCGGCCCCGCCCGGCCCCCCCTCTAGGCTTCCCACGGCTTTTCAGACTCTGAGGTCCAGTATAAAACGCTGTGGGGACTGGCCACTAACCCACTGTTCCTGGAAAGTTGTAAGGCGCTCGGCTGCCATATGCAAAGTTAGAAAGAAAGAAAGTTAGCCTATGGACTTCAGGTAAAAGGCAAGGGGGGTTCGTTGGAGACCACTCACCCTCCCTAAACCAGGGGGCCATGTAGCAGAGAATGTGAGTAGGATCCAGAATCTTCCTGACATAGTCTTGGAAGGTGAGCAGATTCCGGCGCTGCTCGCTCGTCATCCCGGCTCGGTCCCGCGCAGCGTCTGCCAGGCTGGGAGCCGGCTCCCTTTTAAAGCTGTATGGGAGGAGGCCGCCGCCAGGAGGGTAGGGATTTTCCCAGAAATGGATCCTAGCTGAGAGGCGGAGCGGCGGGGGAACTTAATTACAATTGAGAAAACGGAAACCGAAACTAGCGCCAGCCGCCGCCGGGGCTGCGGAGGCCCGGGACCTTCCCAGCTGCGCGCGGCTCAGTTTTGTTTTCCTGCGGACCCGGGGGAACCGGCGGACCCAGAGGCCCCCAAGAGCAGCCCTGGGGATTGCTTTTATGTTTATGTATCTTATTTTTTGGTTTCGCTTTTATGATGATAACAGTTTTAGTTTCAGTAAAACGTGCACAACTTAAGTGTGCAATAGGATGAGTTTTGGAAGACACGTACCGGTTTCACCTCTTCTCCCAGCGGGATCCCGTGGTAAACAGCATTGTTTTAACCTAGGAAACGGCCACCTGTTTACCAAAGTGACCATATCGGGTTGCATTCCCACTCGCACAAGAGAGCTGCAGTAGACACAAGTCCAGGACACCCATTGGTTTCTTAACTTCCTCACTGGTCCATGTGAAATCATTTATTATTGTGGTTATTAATGTAGTTGTGATTTTCCTTATAAGGATGCTGAACACATTTGCTTGTGCTTATTGGTCTTTCATATAATTTCCTTTGTAAATCATCTGTCCCTATCTTTTGCTTTGTTTTGGAGAGTGTTGTTGTTGTTGTTGTTGTTGTTGTGTTTCAATAGACTGACAGGAGTTACTTATTCTGGGTACAAAGTTGTCAAATAAAATGTATTCGAAATATCTTCTCCCAGTCTGTGGCTTGCCATTTCATTTTCTTAAAGCTGTCTTTTGAAGAGCAAAAGTTTACATTGACAAAATCTAATTTATCAGCATTTTCTTCTGTCTGCTGCTTTTTGTGAGCTTTAATTGCTCCTTAATAAATCTTTGCAAAAATAAATAAATAATTAATCTTTGCCTGGAGGTCATTAAGATATTTTGTTTTTTTCTTTTAGACTCTTTATATTTTTATCTTTTACTTTTAGGTCTATGATTATCTTGAATTAATTTAGTTGCAGTGTGACATAGAGATCCAAGTTCACTCTTTCCATGCTTCTGATATACATACCAGCACCATTTGTTGACAACTTTTCTTTGTTCTGTTGAACACTTAATTGACTGCATGTGTGTAGATCTAGTTCTGACTCTTTTATTTCCTATTCTAGTTTCCATTTCGGTTTTCTGACTTTTATTTCCTATTCTCTTAGGGAAAGCCTGAGAGCTCATTCATCTCCAATGGAAAGCAATACCTACAACTTACAAAATGGCTATATTCCATGATTAGGTGTCTCAAAATCTAGATGGAAGTGCCTGTACTTTAGCCTAAAGTATTCAGTCTTAGTAAAGTCCCCGCTCCTCTCAAACTTCCTATCATTTGGAAGAATTAAGACTTGGCCGAGTTAACAACTTCCTTTGAATTTGAACAGCATTTTGTACCCTGCTGTTATAATCATTTGGGTACATCTTTCCAATTTTTTAAAAAAGATGTGTATACATACACATGCACACATGTATAATACGATGTTGCCCAGAAACTAATAAACATTCTTATGAATTTTTCATTACTTACAACTTGCACGAATTGAGTCTATTCTGGTCAGATCTGTGAATAAAACAAAGCTGACAATATATTATATATATATATATATACACATTTTTCTGTCCTAAGAGAAATCATTAAATATGAGTATATTTAGTATACAATGAACAACAAATTCTGATTCCCTATACCTTGGAGGTAATGCAGAAGGCTGAGACATTCCAAAATTATGTATGACCAAATCTACCCTGCCTCTTTGGCTCACCACAACATACCAAAATTAGAGCAATGATTAATATCCAAGTGTATTTTTTTCACTAAAATTAATCTTCAAGCCAATACCTGAAGAACTTTTCTAATACTTTCAATTAAATATTATTTAATGACTTTTCCATCAAGTGCAATATACACAACAATTATTTCAAGTCAGAAAAAAAGAGGGTGATTTCCCCCTGTCCTTTAAAAAAAAAAAGTTTTATACCATTTTTAAAAATCCCTTCAAGTAATTCCTACACAATTTTCCTTATAAAGAGACTCTAGAAAGGTAAAAATCAATATATTTAAAGGGTTGTCATAAAAATAACCAAATGGACTTGAAATTTACTTTTGTACAATTTAAAATTCTGTACTACCTAGGTTCCAGGCCAAAAAGTACTTATAGATGGAGGAAAGACAATTCTGATAGCCTAGGTTCATATATTTCTATGTATATAACAGCTTCAGTTCTCCAAAATACTAGGTTGGGGTTTTTTGTTTGTTTGTTTTCTGGTTCTATTTCTAAAATATTTTTAAACTCAAAGGTAATTTAAAATTAGGGGATAATTACATTTTTAAAATTTTCGTGGATGAAGATCATTAAACCATTGCAGCTCGCAATTCTGCATAAGTGAGAATAAACATCAGAAAGTCCAAAGGGAAGAGCTAATACATGAAGATGCACCATCTGGAACCCTATGACAGTCGGAACGCACTGGGATTCAATTACTTCAATTAACCGCTTCATGGCAGAAGGCAGGTGTTTTATGATGGTTGCAGATTATACCCACGCGAATGAGATATATGCACACCATTATTGCTGCAGTCACACTCTGTGGTAATTCAGAAATCCAAATTTAACCCCAGAATATCTAAATCTGGAGTATGAATTTGAAGGTAGTTCAAACAACAGTTGATTGAAACCAACAATCTTTTTTTTTTTTTTCCCTTTAAGGCTATAGAAAATCTAAACATAAATAAGGCAATTAATTCTCAGGATAAAAATGCACCCTAATAGTCAAGGTGTCCAGTCAGATTCCACAGTGAGTATATGCTGTATCACCTTCTATTCCACAGGTGTACTTTCTTATTAATGTCTGTAGGATTAAGATCGATTCTTTATTAGCTGCTCACACAGACTCCTTTATTAGTAAATATTGTGATATTTCATTAAATTCCCTGAACAGGGAAAGTGGGTCATGCATTAAGTAACCAATTTTGCTCTCATGATCTTATAACATGTAAGTCTCTTCTACCTCATAGTAAAGCCAAGTGTCATTTATTCTGATAAACACCCCATGGAGTCTCAAGAAAAACCACAACAGCAGAAAAAAAGCTAGAAAGCATTACTCTAATTTTTACAGACCTGAAACACCAAATAGGAGAACTTCTTCAAAGAATTGTCTGTTCTCTGGCTTTCAATTTCTCTGTATCTGTATGATCTGTTGCAAGTATCTTTCTATTAAGAGATTCTCTAAGTAACATTCCTTTATAACCTTTATAATCTGTTGCATTTAAGTAGGACAGACCAGGCAGGACACCGAGGAATAACAGGAAGCAGGTTTAAAGGCTGCAGCCAGGTTCAAAAAGGGGGGGCTCTTTGCCTCCATTAATTCACCCCTCTGAACCCTGAGTTCAGAAAGTTTTAGGACTCTCGGCTGGGGATGTGGCTCAAGTGGTAGCGTGCTTGCCTGGCATGCCTGCAGCCCAGGTTCAATCCTCAGCACCACAGACAAAGATGTTGTGTCCGCCGAAAACTAAAAGATAAATATTAAAATTCTCTCTTTAAAAAAAAGTTTTAGAACTCTATACCTAGTGTGTAAGGGAAAGGGCTCAGAAGCTCACAATCTGTAGAAGTTCACATAAAAGCAGCTTTTTCACTCTTCTGGGCACCAATTCAGGCCAAGGACACTCTGAAAGTCACTGTCTGGGAAAGGGAAAGTGACCCTCTCCTTTCTTCCCACAGTCCTTTGAGATGCAAATGCCTCTATCAAGGTTCCAGACCCAGGCTGGAGGCTGGAGCCCTCACTAGGTCTCTGCAAACACAGTCTCTACCTGAAAACTGTTGTAGAAATTCTTGCTGATAGTCTAAGACAATTATCTAAACAGAACTTTTGAGGGTCTCTGGAGAAGCTTAGTTATGGCAGGGTTCTTCTGGGTGGGGGGTCTCTGGCCTGCTTCAGTATAGGTCCAATCATATGGTTTAGTAACTTCTTTGGAGTGTTCACCCTCACTTCTGCTTTCCCACTACTTTTCTGCACAGGCTACTTCAAGCATTCCTTGGTAGTTGTTTATACATCTGAATGCATCCTTAGCATTGAACTCAATCCCAAAGCCAGAGCCATGCTGGATTTTCTCTCTCTCTCCTTCCCGCTCCCTCCCTCGAAGGGGTCTCCCTAAGTTGCTTATGGCCTTGCTAAATTGCTGAAGCTGGCTTTGTACTTGTGGTCCTCCTGCCTCAGCCTCCTGAGCCGCTGTGATTACAGGCCTGCACCACTGCACCTGGCTCATGTTGGATTCTTAAAACCTTGTCTCCTAACATCATTTTAAATCTCTGCCAACTTCATGAGGTGGGTCTTGGTGGCCCTCAGTTTCCAGAGTCAGAAAGAGAAGTCCTGGTGGCTACTCTGCAAGCCATGGACCATTCTGGCAAGGTGAGCCCCTGGGGCTTGGAACACACAGGAGTGTGGCAGAAATCACTATCTCTGATGCCTGAAGCCCCTCCAGTTGTAATAGTTTCTAATATCCCTGTGATTTCTTCTTTCACCTATGGCTTTCATAGAAGAGTATTGTTTGTTTTTCAAATACTGGGAATTTTCTAAATGGTTTAGTGCTACTGACTTCTGATTTTAATCTGTTGTGGCCAGAGAGCTGATGCTGTAAGATTTCAGTCTTGAAATTTTCTGATATGAACTACCTTTGATATACATCAGGCACACATAAGAAGAATGGTGCTCTGCAGTTCATGAGTATAGTGTTCTATAATGTCGGTTATGTCAGATTGATTTATAAAGTGATCCAAGTCTCTTAAATCTGTACTAATTTTCTTTCTGCTTGTTCTATCAAATGCTGAGCAGGGTGTTAAAATCTCCAGCTACGATTATAGATATATCTGAAAGGGTAAAGTTTCTAAGCTGGAAGGCTTGAATTAAAATGTAAAAGATTAGGTATTATTGAGTTCCTCTGTTACACCCAGATTCCTGAGATAGTTAAGACAACACCCTACTAGCCATTTAGCCTAGGGCCCTGTGCAGTTTGTCACAGGGCCCGAACCAATCAATTTGAAT